CTCTTTATGAGTTCTATGATATCAGTGGTTAATATGTTTGGCCATTTTTAGTGTATATTTATAATAATGCAGCAAATCTACAGTGTTTTATTAACCAAAACTGTTTTTCGCGTTTTTCTCGAGTTGAAGTTTTGATCGAGAACGACTCATTGGGACCGCCGCCAAATCAAGTGCGTTCGGACTAGGACATTCAAACTCGCAGTTATCGTTCAAAAGATAATGATGGTGCGAAATATGTCTGGGTTTTTAAAGAAAATGCTTTGTCACAGAATAATAGTCTGTTAAAGGTGCCAAGTATGAAATAATTTGGGGACAAAAAAACAAACCTGCATAGAAATCGGAATAATAGGTCTTTTGATTATCGGAGACGCATTTCAATGGACTTGATTACGGACAATGCATAACTTAAATTTCACCAGGAAATTCCGCAGTGTGCTCTCGCAATCGCGTACTTCGTCATTTTTACAAGGTTCGCCATTTTTGATGTCACGTGATAATTATGTAAACAATGTCTGTCCAGTTTGTGCGAACTTGCACCTCTATACTTAGTCTTTTGATATATATAACCTAAATTACTGTTCTGAACGAGACAACAGACAGAGAATGTTTTATTTAAAAACGTCACAAAACCTTCTCGCTACCTTAAACAGAATGAATGCCAATTTTCAAATGTGACATTTGCCAAATATTGTTAAATTTAAATATGGATTTTAATTTAGTAAATAAAGAAAATAAGCACTATAAAGTTATATTTTGTGGCATAGTTTTTGCTGACAACCAGCCTGTCATATGGACAATTAAAAAGCAATATCTTCTAATACTTCATACAAGACCACTGTTAACCCTCTATAGGTCAAAAGCTGTTGTTATAGATACAAGGAATAATGAGACAATCAAGCTCTTATGTAATTCTAGTTTATTAGGATTTCCACTATACACAAATTATGTCTGCATATTCTCCCAGAGAATCTATATTCCAAGTTTCATTAAAATCTGACAAATTAGATGAAGTAAATTAGGAAATTAATATGCATAGATTTCAACGCTAAACAAAAACAAGCTGCAGCGTTTTAGGAAAATACCCACCTGGTGTGTTATATCTGGTCTGTACTTTGCAGGATCTTTTTTGAATTTTCTCATGAAACTTTTATGACGGTCACAAGACAGCAGCTCAAAACTCTTTCCAACCTATTGATAGAAAAACAAGAAGCTTAAAATATAATAATTGTATAACATGAAATAATTTACAATTGTATAAGAATAAATGTAAAAACATAAACGTTAATTTTCATTAAATGTGGCATACATGATTATTTACAGCTCCAAATTGGTTATCTATATGTCATAATGGGTATTCTCAACTCCCCGAAGAAACGCTTTAATAACCAAGTTTAAATGTTGAGTCCAAGAAATTTGTCCACATCAGACATTAGCAGACATTGGGTCAAAGGTCACCTGGTCTGGCTGTACAAGGTCTCATGCCACTAATCAACCAATTTAAATGCCTTGTAAGAACCAATGACATTTTTTAAATATATTTTTTTTCAGGTGCTTCCTGTTTGATGGCGTAATCACCTGGGTCAAAGGTGAGAACAACATGTGGTTTTTTGTTTACTACTTAGCGGCTGTGTACCTGTGGGATTATTCTGTGTGTATTTAAAAAAACAGCTTCATTACAATATTAATTAAGACAAACATAATATCATTTTTGTTATTTGTATACAAAAGTCTGAAGACAGGATATCTCATATGAAATGTATGGATTAATTCAGTATGATGAGATGATGATAGCTAATATCATGAACTATTCAGTGTTTACTAATGAGAATCTTGAATATTGATATTGAATATTGATACACCAGGTATCATTGTTAAGATAAATAAGGGTCAAGGTGCAGACAGGATGCACCCAATGTTTTTTTTTCAGAATGGAACCCAGGCCTGCTAGACCACATGTCAGCTCAGCATGGACTACACAGTAATATTCTTGACTGCAGACTGACATCACACTATTGAACTTCCAAAGAAAGTTTGTGGGGAATTCAAACATTAGGAAGGTGAAACATGCAATTTACTTTCACTATGAGGTACAAGTAACTTGTACATTCAAGGCCACGGATAGTTAGTATACATTGTTTATGAGTGTTGTGGTCTGGAACAAACATGATTTCGGTGAGAATATCATCACTAACATGGACAATGCACGGTTATTCACACGTAATTAGGAACGTTGTGGGTCTTTTGTTTCCCACTTAAATTATACAGGTAAGAATATAATATTTGTCGGGTGGTTCTGCTCAGTTTCGATGGTAAATTTGGTGACCACCGAACTCGGCCAGATTTCTACTCGGCCAGTGATCGATCACGGCCAGTGACCGTACTCGGCCAGCATATGTGTTAATGGGTGTCGATCTCAGTGATGCAACAGTGAACGCTGTATTACAGACTGCCAGAGTCATATCACAATATCGTGTTTTGTTAATAAAAAAGGGTTGTTGATTTCAGTGACGCATCAGCCAGCGCTGTGTCTTTTGTCATATCACAGTAAAATGTGAAAAAAAAAATACACGGGCGCCAAGGGTTGTCGATCTCAGTGATGCAACAACGAGCGCTGTATTACAGACTGCCAGAGTCATATCACAATAAAATATAAAAAACAAGCCATGCATGGCACAGTCCATGTTAGTTATCAAATTTAAGATATATAGTTTTGTTTATAGTAATATTGCTGGCATATAAACATGTCAGGAATATGATGATTGTTTAACATTTAAATGATTGACATTTGTATCTGATCGTCAAACAAGTATTGAGAGATATTGCTCTGGAACAGCATTAATTAAAACAAAATCAGCCATTATGAATATATGTATAATGAATATATGAAATTTGAACATAGTCAGTCAAAGCATGTCAGAGATATGGCTCTAAAAGCCCATTCATTAAAACAAAATGGCCACGAGTCAGCCATTCAGAATCCGATCTAAAAAATAAAACAAGTTTTTTAGCACAAAAATAGCCACCATTAGGCCACTTTGAAAAGGATCGTCAAA